TTTCCAGAAGCCTGGAAGATGGCGGACGCCGAAGACGGCTTCGGACTGCCCACGACTCCCGTGGAAGCGGACACGAAGGAGCTGGCTGGCGAAGGCAAGGCCGAGGGACAAGTCGCGGGGGCCACCAGCAAGCAGCCCGCCTCTCCTCAAGCCGCCTTCACCCAACAGGTCAAACAGATCGGGGCCTTTTTTAAGTGGGGGGAGGTGAGGTATATTTCGGAAGAGAGTGGATCTAACCAATCCCTAAATGGTCTTTACCTATTGGCCTAAAATTATTATTATTATTAGTAATAATATTAACAATAATATTAGCAATAATAATAATAAAGTTTGAGTATCCCTTCTCCGTAGATCCGTAAATATTAATCTTATTATTAGTAGTAGTAGTAGTTTGAGTATCCCTTCTCCATAGATCCGTAATAGGTAAAGGTAAAGGTTGTCCCCTGACATTAAGTCCAGTCATGTCTGACTCTGGGGTGTGGTGCTCATCTCCATTTCTAAGCCGAAGAGCCAGCGTTGTCCATAGACACTTCCAAGGTCACGTGGCCGGCATGACTGCATGGAGCACCGTTACCTTCCCGCCGGAGCGGTACCTATTGATCTACTCACATTTGCATGTTTTCGAACTGCTAGGTTGGCAGAAGCTAGGGCTGACATCGGAAGCTCACGCCGCTCCCCGGAATCGAACCTGCGACCTTTTGATCAACAAGCTCAGCAGCTCAGTGCTTTAACCCACTGCGCCACCGCCCCCCCAGATCCGTAATAATAATTATTTATTAATATTACTGTATTATTATTAATAATATTAGTAATAATGAGTATCTCTTCTTCGTAGATCCGTTAATAATAATAATAATAATACAGATTGAGTATCCCTTCTCCGCAGATACGTAATAATAATAATATTAATAATAATATGCATTCTGCAGCGTCTCCACTGCACCAGTTGTCCCCTATTAGCTCTAGTTTTTGAAATACACAATGTAGGCTATCTACTAGTCTTCACTACGTCTCCCATTGGTAAAGGTAAAGGTAGTCCCCTGACATTAAGTCCAGTCATGTCTGACTCTGGGGTGTGGTGCTCATCTCCATTTCTAAGCCGAAGAGCCGGCGTTGTCCGTAGACACCTCCAAGGTCATGTGGCCGGAATGACTGCACGGAGCGCCATTACGTCTCCCATAGACAACCACAAACAGGAGCTGATGGGGTCTACCCAACGCTATTTTCCGAATTAGTGCCCCAAAGAAGCTCAGGAACAGGCCTGAAAACCAAGACAGCAAGGAAATAATATTTTGGGCTGTATTATTATTATTATTATTATTATTATTATTATTATTATTATTAAAGATTGATTATCCCTTGTCCGTAAATAATATGAATTATTATTAATAATATTAATATATTAAAATAATTAGTATAATCATTGTTAATTATAAACACTATGGATTTATGGACAAGGGGTACTCACTAGTAATACTAATAATAATCATTAATAATAGTAATAATACAGGTTGAGAATCCCTTATCCATAAATCCGTAAATACTACTACTACTACTACTACTACTACTACTACTACTAATAATAATAATAATATAGTAAGCTCCCAGATCATCCCCAGAGATGGCTGACCTAGCGACCCATTTTTTGGTCCCCTACTTGGAAACAACTTATCAAAAACGTATTAAAAACTACTGTGTTTATGACACATCTAGGAATTTCGCCAAGATCCTGAATTAATCTCTAGTAATCCTTCACAATTTCTGGTGCCAAGCATTTGGGCTACCCGACCTCCAAAAATAGGACTGCGGAATGGAAGTGGGAGGAAACCCAGGACTTTCCGCTTATAAATCGAAATGTGAAGAGGAGATGCTGAGGCTGATCATAACATTTTAATACTCTTTTAATAATATTATAATAAATAATGATATATAACATAATAATAATTCAATGGTACTATTTTAATGATAATGTTAATGTTATAACAACAATAATAGTCCTCGCAGTCAATGAAGCTCGCCCTAGGTCTCAATAATAATAATAATAATAATAATAACAACAACAATACTCATCATCATCATTATCCAATACAACAGCCAGCAGAGTGATCTTGTCTGCTGTGGACTCATCTTGTTGTGTTTCAAATAATAATAATAATAATAATAATAATAATAATAATAACAATACTCATCATCATCATCATCATCATCCAATACAAGAGCCATCCGAGTGATCTTGTCTGCTGTGGACTCATCTTGTTGTGTTTCAAATAATAATAATAATAATAATAATAATAATAATAATAATAACAATACTCATCATCATCATCATCCAATACAAGAGCCATCAGAGTGATCTTGTCTTGTCTGCTGTGGACTCATCTTGTTGTGTTTCAAATAACAATAATAATAATACTCTCAGGTCAAATGAAGCAAGGGGGCAGTCCAAGCCAATGGTAATAATAATAATAATAATAATAATAATAATAATAATAATAATAATTAGTAATAAGTAATAATAGTCCTCAATAATAATAATAATAATAATAATAATAATAATAATCTCAAGTCAAATGAAGCAAGGGAGCAGTCCAAGCCAATGGTAATAATAATAACAAGAGTAATAATGAATAATAATTAGTAATAATTAATAATAGTCCTTGCAATCAATGAAGTTCGCCCTAGGTCTCAATAATAATAATAATAATAATAATAATAATACTCTCAGGTCAAGTGAAGCAAGGGGGCAGCCCAAGCCAATGGTAATGGTGGTAATAATAACAATAACAATATTAATTTGTAAGTAGTAATAATTAATAATAGTTCTCACAGCCAAAGAAGTTCGCTCTACGTCTCAGTAATAATAATAATAATAATAATAATAATAATAATAATAATAATACATATTATTACTCTCAGGTCAAGTGAAGCAAGGAGATAGTCCAAGCCAATGGTAATAATAATAAAAAAATATTAACTCATAATTAGTAACAATTAATAATAATAATAGTCTCCTCAGCCAATGGAGCTCGGCCTAGGTATCTATTATTATTATTATTATTATTATTATTATTATTATTATTATTACTACTACTATTGGCTTGGGCTGCCCCCTTGCTTCACTTGACCTGAAATTATTAATATTTGTTGTTGTTGTTGTTGTTGAGCTTCATTGGCTGCGAGGACTATTATTATTAGTATAGTATTATCAAGTCAAACCACATTCATTCTGCATTCTGCAGCCCGCAAGACTTTCGGCCTTGATCTGCTCTTTTTCCTGCCCCAAATCCCAACATCTGTTTCCCAGCGGGGTTTTTTTTTTCTTGGAAAGCGGCCTGAAAATAAAATCAAACTTTCTTTCCTCGGCTTTTTCCTCCGGGCTGGAGGCTTCTCCCGTTTGAGAAGAGAATAGAATTCGATGCAATGCACGTGGCTTCCCCTCCAAACTCTGCACCCCGACATCTGTGTTCTGACGCGATTATTTCGGAGTTTTTAATTTTTTCTTCCTGTTTTCTTAAAATGGCGTTCTTCTTTTCAGAGGAATGCAGACTTATAATATGGCGGCTCCACCCCCCCCCCCCCCCCCCCCCCCCTCGCATCCCCAAATATTCCCCAAATGTCCCTTTGATACTCGAAACCAAGAGCATCTACACTGTGTTATAACTGCTAAAGTGTTATAACTGCTATAGGATCCTTGGGAAAGAGCCACCCGTTTTGGGAAAAGATGGCTCAAGACCTTGGAAAATTCATATAACAACAACATAGGATGATTAATAATAATATATTATTAATAACAGCAACAATAATATGAGTCCATTATTAATAAATTGCACTTTTCCCCCTAACCCAATCCCCACTCTAACTCTAACCCTAATTCTAATCCCAACCCCAATCCCTACTGTAATTCTAACCCTCTCTCTAACGCTCTCCCAGCCTAACTCTAACTCCCCACTTTAACTCTCACCTCTAACATCATCCCAATCCCCATCCTGACTCAAATCCTAAACCTGACTCCAACCCTAGCTCTAACTCCAATTCCCGCCCTAGCTCTAACCTTAGCTCTAACCCCAGTCCCAATCCCCATCCCAACATTAACTCTAACCCTATCTCTAACACCGTTCCAATCCCCACCCTAATTCTAATCCTAACTCCAACCTAATCCCCACTCTAATTCTTACTCTAACACCATCTCAATCCCCATCCTGACTCAAACCCTAATTCTAAAACCAACTTCAATCCTAGACCTAACTCCAACCCCAATCCCCAATGTAACCCTAACTCTATCTCTAACACTATCTCAATCCCCATACTAACTCAAACTCTAATTCTAAGACTAACTCCAACCCTAGTTCTAACACCAACTCCCACCCTAACGCTAACCCTAGCTTTAGCTCCACTTCCAGTTCCCATCCCAACACTAACTCTAACCCTATCTCTAACACCATCCCAATCCCTAACTTAACGCTAACCCTAACCCTAACTCCATCCCAATCCCCACTCCAATTCTATCTGTAGCAGCATCCCAATTTCCATCCTGACTCAACCGCTAATCCTAAACCTAACTCCAGTTCTAGACCTAACTCCAACCCCAATCCCCTCTAACTCTATCTCTGACACCATCTCAGTCCCCATACTAACTCAAACCCTAATTCTAACACTAACTTCAACCCTAGCTCTAACCCCAACTCCCACCCTAACTCTAACCCTAGCTTTAATCCCAGTTTCAATCCCCATCCCAACACTAAACCTATCTTTAACACCATCTCAAATCCTCGCCTTAATTCTAACCCTACCGTAACCCCAACCCAATCCCCACTCCAATTCTATCTCTAACAGCATCCCAATCCCCATTCTGAAAACCTAATTCTAAGCCTAACTCCACTCCTAGCCCTAACTCCAACCCCCACCCCAACTTTAACACTAACTCTAAACCCAACCCTAACCCTAAGACCAACCCTAAGCCCCACTCTAACTCTAACCCTATTTATAACATCCCAATCCCCATCCTGACTCCTACACTAGCTCTACCCCCACCACCACCCTTATTTTCACTCTAACCCTAGCTCAGCTCTAACATTCTCCCAATCACCAACCAAGCTCTATTCCTTGCTCTAACCCCAAGTCTAACCCTAACTCCAATCCTAACCCCTACTCTAACCCTACCTCTAACGTCATCCCAATCCCCACCCGGACTCTAACCTCAATTCTAAGACTAACTTCCGACCCTAGGTCTAACCCCAATTCCCAGCCCTAACTCTAACCTTTTCTCTCACACCAACCTCAATCCTCCCCCTAGCTGTAACCCTAACTCTAACTTTACTGCTGACCCCAATTGTAAAACTAACCCCAACCCTAACCCCAATTCCTACCCTAACTCTAAATCTAGCCTAGTCCTAACTCTTATCCTAACTCTGTCCCCAACCAAATGCCGTCACAATTCCAGCTCTGAATCTAATCCTAAACCAACTGTAACCCCAATCCCCACTCTTTAACCCTAACCCCACCCACTTGCGTCCAGGGGCTTCATTCACTCTGCAGGATAAGCCCATTCCCTCCAAATATCAAAATAGAATCGAACTATTTGCAGGGTGAAAGCAATTACATCTGAAATTGCCCTCTCCTCTCTTTTTGAAAACTTTAGGGCATGGAAGGCATCAAAGTCTTTTTACACGAGCGGGAATTGTGGCTGAAATTTCATGACGTGGGGACCGAAATGATCATCACCAAAGCTGGAAGGTAAGCGGCCAGAAAGGGCAAAGAATTATTATTATTATTATTATTATTATTATTATTATTATTATTATTATTATTGTCATAATGCCTGGAGAGAATAGATCCATATAATCTAGAAAATAGCGGGGCCTTTTTACTCCCCCCCCCCAAATTTCAATGGGTGATTTCGGATCAGACAGAGAAGGAGACACATTTGTTCCAGTTGGCTTGGTTTTGTTTCTCAAGGCTGAATTCCAGAATATAGCTTATGGCAGCGTTTCTCGACCTGGGGGTTGGGAGGGGGTTACGAGTTGCGGGAGTCGCCAAAGACCATCAGAAAACACAGTATTTTCTGTTGGTCATAGGAGTTGTGTGCCAGGTTTGGTTCAATTCCATCGTTGGTGGAGATCAGAATGCTCTTTGATTGTAGGTGAACTATAAATCCCAGCAACGAGAACTCCCAAATATCAAGGTCTATTTTCCCCAAACTCCACCGGTGCTTACATTTGGGCATATTGAGTATCCCTGACAACTTTGGTCCAGATCCATCATTGTTTGAGCCCACAGTGCTCTCTGGATGTAGGTGAATTACAACTCCCAATCTTAAGGCTCACCAAACCCTTCCAGTATTTTCTGTTAGTCATGGGAGTTCTGTGTGCCAAATTTGGTTCAATTCAATCATTGGTGGAGTTCAGAATGCTCTTTGGTTGTAGGTGAGCTATAAATCCCAGCAACTACAACTCCCAAATGACAACATCACCCCCCTCCCAATCCCACCAGTATTCAGATTTGGGCTTTTTGGGTATTTGTACCAAATTTGGTCCAGTGAATGAAAATACATCCTGCATATCAGATATTTACATTACGACTCATAACAGTAGCAAAATTACAGTTATGAAGTAGCAATGAAAATAATGTTATGGTTGAGGAGGGGGTCACCATAACATGAGGAACTGTATTAAGGGGTCGGGGTATTAGAAAGGTTGAGAACCACTGGCTTATGGTGTAAGTCAGGGATCCAAGCCCATTGAACTGCTCGGAGTTTGCTTTGCTGCTGAAACTGCATTGGGAGTAAACCAGAAAATAACATTAAAATATAATGTAATGTAATGTAATAATATAATATAATATACAAGGATTGTAGTGGGGCAAATGAAATCAAACTAAAAAATATATAGCTAAGGCCCCTGATACACTGCCATGTAAAATCCAGATCATCTGCTTTGAACTTGATTATCTGGCAGTGTAGACACATATAATCCAGTCCAAAGCAGATAATCTGGATTTTATATAAACATGGTAAATAAATAAATAAATAAATAAATAAATAAATAAATAAATAAATATGGCAGTGTAGAAGGGGCCTGACAGAGGAACAGGTCAACCTCTATTGCATTAGCTACAGCTGGAAAAACAGAGCACAAATAGACCTCAAATATGTTCTGCCATTGCTTTGCTTGGAGCTTGCAGTGCCCAATGGATACAGGGCAGGATACCAACTTTTGAAAACGTATAAACTTCAATTTTGGTGCAGTTTTTATGGCAAGGCAATATTAGACCTTGCAATCACAGATGGTATCAAATTGATTTGGCCATAAAATAATATGGCTACTAGCTCTAGAACCTACAGTAAGAAGAACATGGTTCCTAGGCAGTTTGATCCCACTTCAATTGCCATGGCTTAAGGCTATGGAATCCTGGGAGTTGTAGTTTTGCAAAATCTATAGACTTCTGTGCCAAAGAGGTCTGGGGCCTCACCAGACCACAAATCCCAGGATTCCATAGCATTGAGCCATGGCAGTTCAAGTGGGGTCAAACTGCATTCATTCAACAGTGAAGATACATCCAAAAAGGAGCAGCCACAAAAAAGGCCCCTTATTGTGATGGAATGGAGAGAAAGCTCTTCAGACTCAAGCAGGCTCATGGAGGGAAACAGAGTCCTTCCAAATACTAACAATATTATTAATATTATTATTAACACTATTAATATTAATAATACCATAGTGTAATGGTATTAATAGTGATGTTGTTAATATTAATAATATTAATATTAATATTAATATATAATGTTATTAATATTAATAATACCATAGTGTAATGGTATTAATAGTGATGTTGTTATTGTTATTTATGATATTGCTTTCATTGTAAATTGTCTTTTTATATGTTGTACACCGCCGTGAGTCGCCCTAGGGCTGAGAACGGCGGTCAACAAATGCAGTAAATAAATAAATAAATAATAAATCAATAATAATACACATTAATAATACATTTTAACAATGTCTTATTAAAACTCTCAAGCAAAATATGTAAGGAGAATAAATGCATGTTTAGGAAAGCCCTCTTTGGTTTTCAAAATAGTTGTTGGTTTAGGTGTATATCAGGGAGCTTGGACCCTTCGCTTTCCCTGTTCTTTGGATCCTTGCCGAAGTTGCCCACCAATCTATCCCTGTGGTTTATTTCCTTTCCCCATTTCTCTCCTAGGAAAATGTCCTTATTGATAAATTATGGGTGTGTGGCCTTATAACGACTCATGTAATTTCCTTATTATGCATAGAGGCTTCAAAAGGGAAAGGGCCCATTTGATTCATGAGTGTGCATCAGTTATACACACAGCCTCTGTGTGATAGTCTCTTACAGAAAAGCCTATAGGCAACTCAAGGACTATTATAGTAATTGTCAGGCCATTAAATTGGTGTCAATACTATTCTTGCTATATTATTATATTATATTATATTATATTATATTATATTATATTATATTATATTATATTATATTATATTATGCTAGTATAGTCTTCCATGTGCTTGAGTGAAGCCAGGTTCTGCCAAGGATAAGAAATCATTGGTCTACTCCCAACTTTCTTGAGTCTTGCCAGAATGGCACATGGCTGGGCATACCGGGATATAGTCCAAGGTCTGGGGTAGCTTTTGTACTGCAGAAGAAGTACATTTTGCATAGGACTGCACTAAAGATATCTTCTAGGGAACTTTAGAATGTGATCCTATAACTTCAGCAGTGGTGATGGTCTTGGGATGGGGATGAATTCCCCACTACTCGACTGAATTGTATTTTTCCCAAAAATATTGGCGGAGTCCAAAGGTACCTCTACACTAGGGAATGAATGCGATTTGATCACACTTGAACTGTCATGGCCCAGTGCTATGGAGTCCTGGGTAAGGTCTTTTGACTTCTCTGGGCCCTCACAAAACTACAACTCCTGGGCTTTCATAGCATGGCAGTTCAAGTGGGGTCAAACTGCATTCATTCCACACAAAATGAAGGCTGTCTTTGCCTAAGACTCCTTGGAACTGTTCTCCCAAAGTTTGTCAAACTCAATTAGCTATTATCACAGTATGTCACAGCAAATGAGATCTATATGCTGGATTTCGTATCACAAAATTACAAGTTGAACACTTCTCAAGTGTCTAGGACTTCTTCTTCTTCTTCTTCTTCTTCTTCTTCTTCTTATTAGTATTAGTATTAGTATTAGTATTAGTATTAGTATTAGTATTAGTATTAGTATTATTATTTGAAACACAACCAGATTAGTACACAGTAAACAAGGTCACTATGCTGGCTGTTGTATTGGTTCACATGTCGGGGACTTCCCAAGTGTCTAGTAATAATAAGTAATATTAATAATAAGTATCTATTATTAATAATAAACTGCTTTTTTCTCAGTGCCAGTTGTTGGTGCATATCTCCATCATGTCTGACTTATAGTGACCTTAAGGCAAACCTATAATTGCTTGGTAGAACTGATTCAGAATGGGTTTGGCCTTGCTTTCTTCTGAGGCTGAGAGAGTAGTGCAACTCACCCCATGGGCTTCTATGGTCAAATAGGTCTTGAGTTTCATCTCATCCTCAAATCACTACACCATGCTGGCTCTCTGGCTTTACCTATATGGTCCAAAAGGTGTAGATCTCAAACCTAATAGTTTGCAATGTATTAGGCATAGAATCATAGGTGAGTAGATGGCCATCTGCCGGGCGGGCTTTGTCTGTGTCTTCCATCATGGTGATAGGGGGTTGAATCCTAGATTTGGAAGAGACCATGAAGGCCATCCAGTCCAACCCCCTTCTTCCATGAAGGAAGGCACAATCTGATCCTTTCTGACAGATGGCCATTCAGTCTCTGCTTAAAAACCCCCAAAGAAGGAGACTTGAACACATGTATTTGGCATGGCTACCAATGCATCTGCACATTTCCTCCTCTTAAAAAGACATTCAAGCTCTTTCTTATCTTCTAATGCTAGTCAACAGGAGGCCCACAGATGTGTATTTCAGAATTGAGACTTAGATTGACAATTTGACTAGGATCCAGCAACCCCCGGGTTGGTCCCAGTCCAGCTGGCCCCAGTTTTCCCAGTCACCCCATTAAGCTTCATCTTCCATCTTGCGGTTAGTACGCACTCTTAGTAAGTATGTCTCAAATCCTCAGAAACCCACCCCTATGCTGGGTAGGAGCACAATTTTGCCTCATTTTCCACCATTAACCATATGGTTTTAAGGCAATGGATTAAAAAATATGCGCCTAAATAAATTAAAAATAAAATAAAATAAAACACAGTGGATTGGGTCCAGACTTTGACTTAGTGTGGACTGATTGAAAACAACCCCATGTCAGTTTGGGAGGTCCCACGAGTTTCTGACAGGTTTAATCTCATTGGAAGAAAATCTGGAATCGACCCAATGACTGTGATGTTTTTAAAAGTTTTTACGAGAGTATTAAAAACGATTCATTTTAAAATATACACTTGATTAATCAGAGGCACCTTTTTAATCTATCCCCAAATTTGGGGCCAATTAACCTCATAAACACAGCTAACTAAACAGAGCAGGCCTGGTTATGACAGGGGCAAAATGGATTTATTGATTTGCACAAAAGCAATTATTATTATTATTATTATTATTATTATTGTTAATATGTATCATTAATATTCAATATTAATATTTATTAATGATATTCATTAATAATATATATTGATTATATTCATTAATAATATTTATCAATGATATTCATTAATAATATTGATTAATTTTCAATAATATCAATAATAATAATATCAAATTGTGTTGAACCCCTGGTGGCACAGTGGGTTAAACTGTTGAGCTGCTAAACTTGCTGATCAACAGGTTGGCAGTTTAAATCCAGGGAGCGGGGTGAGCTCCCGCTGTTAGTCCCAGCTTCTGCCAACCTAGCGCTTTGAAAACATGTAAATGTGAGTAGATCAATAGGTACCACTTTGGCAGGAAGGTAACGGCATTCCGTGCAGTCATGCTAGCCACATGACCTTGGAGGCGTCTGCGGACAATGCTGACTCTTTGGCTTAGAAATGGAGAGGAGCACCACCAATCAGAGTCGGACTTGACTAGACTTAATGTCAAGAAGAAACCTTTGCCTTTACTTTATTCATTAATAATATTTATTGATTATATTTATTCATAAAATTTATTGGTGATATCCATTCATTATATTTGTTAATAATATTTATTGTTAATAATAATATTTATTGTTATTATTATATTTACTGATGTACCACTTTTTCCACTCTGAAAAGAGACTCAAAGCCAATGTTCCATCTTTTGAGCTTTTGCGCATAATTCTCAGTAACTTCCAGCAATTGGGAGCCATAAAGTACAGCAACATTACCAAATATAATAAAAGGCAATTGCATTGAGAAACACCCTAAATTTGTTATATCCTGCAACCCTTCCATTATAATTTTGTTTTTCAAATTTTATTGGGTGTTTTGGAGATGGCCTGCCTTGCAATCATTTTGAATTTTATCCTTAGTGTAAGCTACTACACAGGTCAAGGCAACTGAAGCAAGCAAGTGGCCTCTCCTATTTGAATATGAGGTCAAGTGTATTATATGGCTGGTAGGAGACTAGCTACACAGATACGTCTTTTGCTAGCAAGCAAGTGGCCTCTCTTATTTGAATATGAGGTCAAGTGTATCAGATGGCTGGTAGGAGACCAGCTAGAATTTCTTCTGTTTTGGAATAGAGGATTTAGGGATTTGGGATTGTTTGGAATGCTCTGGCTGTCTCTAGCATACAACTCCCTTGTTACAACAGCTCCAGCTTATTTCTGGGCCCAGTGGATATTGGGCAAGACTGAAAATCCCACTCAACCCTGCACGTTGTTGGGTGCTCCTGGTCCAATCAGGATGGAGAACATGTGACCTTCAAGATGTTGTTGGCTTGCAAGTCCCATCATCCCTTGCTACCATTGAGCTTGGACAACATTGGGAAGCCTTGCGCTCTCCATCTTTGTTTGGCTTGCGTCCACTGGAACTAGTGCAAGGGTTTTCAATGATCCATTAGGATTCTCTGCTAATGGCTACTGTCTTTTTCCTCTCTGGGTAGGCGGATGTTCCCCAGCTACAAAGTGAAAGTCACGGGACTCAATCCCAAGACCAAGTACATTCTGCTGATGGATATTGTCCCCTCCGATGACCACAGATACAAGTTTGCAGATAATAAATGGTATGCCATGGAAGGTGGGAAGGGAGGGATGACAGGCACAGGATCTAGATCCTATGAAACACTTAGTCCTATGAGTTTCCAGAGGAGGTACAAGTGCCTTAAGTGGAACTTGAATGCAATGCAATATTCCTTTACTGTCTTCCCAATGCCTCCTTTTAGCAAAATAGTGCTTTCCAAAAGGATCAAAGAATAGACTCAATTAATTTATAGGATTTACCTCTGGGTTGACTCACTACTGATTCTGTGGATCTGCTCTAGTTGGGACAAAGTGCTAGGATTCAGACCAGTTTGTGATCTCATTAAGGTGTGCCCAAGGATCTGAAAAAGCTGTTACAGTTTCCATGTAAACTGGGTAGTCAATCTGCTCTAGACTTTATCCCAAAATCCTAGGAAGCCAGTGATGTTAAGCAGTATCAGCCCTGGTTAGTACTTGGATGGGAAACCACCAGAGAATCCCAACTGCTGTCCTTACCACCTGTGAGGATTCCTGGTCTCAGATAACCCTATCACATTCATAGCGGGTGCATCTAAACTGTTGAATGAATTTGAACTCAGTACTACAATCCTGGGAGTTGTAGTGCCAGTGTCTCCCCAAACTACAACTCCCAGAATTCCATACCAATTAGTTATGGCAGTGAAAGTGGTATCAAACAGCATTCATTTGGCAGTGTAGATCAAGGGTCCTCAAACTAAGGCCCGAGGGCCAGATACAGCCCTCCAAGGTTATTTTCCCGGCCCTCGCTCAGGGTCAACCTAAGTCTTGAAAACACACAACAACAGCAACAATCCTATCTCATCAACCAAAAACAGGCCCACACTTCCCACTGAAATATTAATAAGTTTGTATTTGTTAAAATTGTTCTTCATTTTAATTATTGTATTGTTTTAAAGTTGTTTTTGCACTACAAATAAGGTATGTGCAGTGTGCATAGGAATTCATTCATGTTTTTTTTCTTTCAAATTATAATCCAGTCCTCCAACAGTTTGAGGGACTGTGACCTGGCCCTCTGTTTAAAAAGTTAGAGGACCCCTGGTGTAGATGATCCCAGGGTCACCATAAGTTAGGAGGCATTTCAGTGATGGGGTTCAGCACCTTGGATAGTTCTTCCAAACCTGGAGTGGATTTGCCACCAGACTGGAATGGAAGCTGCCTCTCATTCCCTGAGCAAGAGCCAAAGGGTTAAAAATGAACTATTCCATCCATCTTTGTGAAAAACCAAGGAAGATCACTCATCATCAAGGTGGCGTGGGCTTCTATTTTCCTTCATGCTTGGAAAGTTTCCGTCCTTCTCCAACATATACGTACAGTAAAGATTCAGCAAGGAACGCAGCCAGTTGGCTGGAAGAGAAACATAACTAGGAAGTCCCTGTCAGGGGCCTTCCAAACAGATCCTTCTTCTCCCTATAATCCAAGGACATTGCAGCCTTTCCATCTTTTTTCTCGGCAGTAAAGAAAAAAAATGAAAACAGTGGCAGGGAACCAGGATGGAAGCATTGTCTGGAAGCCTCCTTGACATGCCAGGGGATAAGCCATCAAATGGACCCATCTTACATCTCCGGAGCTCCGCAATAGAGAGCCAGTTTTTATAGAGAGACGGTTTTTATTAAATATGCTTTAGAGAGTGAAAATGGGAAACAATATGACCTTGTTGGTCAGGAATTTTGGATATGACATTTGATTAATGGTTGACTTATAAATATATGGCACAGGAAAGGATACTTGTTCAGGCCTTGGTGGTGGGATTATGTGTTTGTAAAATGCTCACTGTTTTGTGTTCTTTTTACACTGTAAGCTGTTAATGTATGTAAATAAAATTTATTTAAAAATAATAAAAATGCAATAGAGAGCCAGAGTAATGTCCTTTTTAGGACTCCACTTCCCACTATCCCCAATGCCCTATGAGGATACAGGGAAGTGGAGTCCCCAAAAGTCCATCTCCCAAATTCATGAACCATGATTTGTTGTTTTCTTTGTTTTCTTTCTCCCATTTGTGCATTGGTTCTCACTTACTCCTTTGGCTACCTCCTGCTTCGGGATTAAGCCACAGTTCTGTCTTGAAAGTCAATAACACACCATGGTTTAAACAAAAACAGTGCTCATAAGCTTGCAATGGACTCTTATCTTTGAATCATGGTTTGTGGCTGGTTAACAAACCATAGTTTGTTGGCGATGCTGGGTTCAGATGCAACAACAAATCATGATTCAAGAAACTGTGCTTGGTTTACCATTATAAGATTTTAGAGTCAGAGACCATGAAAACATATGGTTCGAGTGTCATTTCAGGACATTGCAAGAATAGGATTGTAGAATTGAAAGTTAATGTGATTTAATGGACAGAATGCATTGAGGATTACCTTCAGTATGATGTGTTTGATGGAGACGACGAATAGGATTGGGGCTGAAGTTAGCCATTCTTCTATTTCTTCTATGGTGCCTTAGCTTTAAAAAAATTCTAATAAGCTTTGTAATAAGAAGAAATGGGAAAAACACATTCTGTTGCTTTTGGGTAGGTCAGTGACTGGGAAAGCGGAACCTGCAATGCCTGGAAGATTATATGTCCATCCGGATTCGCCAGCGACTGGAGCTCATTGGATGCGGCAGCTGGTTTCCTTCCAAAAGCTCAAGCTGACAAACAATCATCTCGATCCATTTGGCCATGTAAGTACTGAGTGGATTCAATTTTGTCTTGGCTGGTACAGAATGACTTTGGCACTCCCTTTGAGGAAATGCCTCCCTTCCGTCAGGCCTTAATGGGATCCATGCCGCAGGAGGATTTTAACCTCGGTTCTTTTGTGTTGGGGCCAGACCATAATCCTTGAATGTACGAAACCTTCAGCAATGGCTCTGAGCATGGACAGAGTACTTTTTGGCACCTTAATAAATCACAACTCAATTCTGGCTACCCTGGCTCAATGCTTATGGAATAGTGTTAGCATTCCATAGCAGTTAGTGTAATCAAAGCATATTAATTTTGCATTGTAGATGCATTCCTGGAGTGCTTGAGTCAGGTATTATTGCATGGTAAGGGGCTGGACTCGATGACTCTAGTGTTCCCTTCCAACTCGGGACCAAGTTGTCTTGACCAGTGGCACAAGATGAAATTTCAGGATGATGACTTCATGGTCTCTGAAGGAGTCCTACGTCTTTCCAAATAAACTTTGTGTGATTGTTTTGGCTCATTTTACCAACCTAAACCTTGGCCTCTTGCCCTAAAGTCTAGCTCTGATCAGTGTCATGGTCACCTGCATGCCTTTGCTCTCAGTTCTGGAGTAAAATGGAACAGGTCCAATGACTAGTCCAAAGAAGGGTGACTAAAAAGGTGAAAGGTTTGGCAGCTAAGCCCTTCGAGGAGTGTCTTGGTATGTTTAGCTTGGAGAAGAGAAGGCTGAGAAAAGGAGACAAGAGAGCCACGTTGAACTATTTGACAGGAGGTCCCATTGGGGAGAAAGGGGCAAGCTTGCTTTCTGGTGTTGTCTAGGACACAGAGGCATGGATTCAACATGCAAGGAAAGCGATTCCACCTAAACATTAGGAAATACTTTGTGATGGTCAGAGCTGTTTGGCAGGGAATATGCTGCTGCCTGAGAGTTGTGTGAAGTCTCCTTCTCTGGAGGTTTTTAAACAGAGGCTGGATGGCCATCTGTCGGGAGTGCTTTGATGGTGACTTCCTTCTTGACAGGGGGTTGGACTGGATGGCCCTTGAGGTCTCTAACTATGATTTTAGATCATTATTCATGCACCTTGCTTTGTGCTAGCAGAGGTTGACAGCGGAGCTTAGGCCAAAAGGGTGCTGGATGGCGGTGCAAGTTGGTCTTAATTTGATGGACGTGTGCTCCTCATGAGCCTTGGTGGCTTTCATGTTCTGTCAACAGTTGGCCGTAATTGCATCCTTGCTCTCTAAAGTGGTGCACAGAAGTCGGGGGGGGGGGGGGAATGGAGGGGAAAATGTGCAATGGAAATGCCTGACAGCCACGGCCTTGTAAACAGGGCTCATGTACAATTTGCGACCTGATCCACTAACCTAGATTGAAGCGAAGCCCGGGACAGGTTACAACAGGGATTAATCTTGCCGCTTGGCTGGAGACGGGTGGAAACAGATGCTTGTGAGTGCCAGGATGGCAGGCAGGGCTTCCTCACAGCACAACAACCATTCCTTCCTCCTCTCCTTTGGCATCTGACCTTCGGAACGACTCCAGAATGGTGAATCATAAAATATCATCATATTAGCAGCAGGCTGCAGATACGTGGCTGAACAGCAGTGCTTGAAATTCTCTTGTGAATAAAAATGTTTTGTTCCAGGTCTTAAAAGGCCAAGTTTGGCAAAGGGCACGTTAAACACATCCACTACTCCCCCCCCCCGCCAAATTTCATTTGGACGCAGGTCATCACCTATAAAGCCCTAAACGGTTTGGGACCCCACCTACCTTTGTGAGCACCTCTCCTACTACAAACCTGCACGATCCCTTCGATCTTCTGGAGAGGCCCTCCTTTTGCCCCTTCCTCTATCACAGGCTCGACTTGTGGGTACAAGGGAGAGGTCTTTCTCCGCTATGCCCTCCCCCCCCCCCGTTTCTGGAACTCGCTGCCTGGGGAGATCAGGCAAACCCCTACCCTAGCAGCCTTCAAGAAAGAGCTGAAAACTTGGCTCTTTTGATGTGCCTTTGGAGAGTGACTMCTCAATCTATTTGTTTGTTCCCACCTAAAATTGCCCTTATTATATAGTAGCCCCCCTTGTCCTTCATAAAGGCTAAACCATGCTTTTCTCCTCTAGGGTTCCCCTCTTATAAATATACTTTTATTCCTATCTCACCCAGGGTTTTACCTTTTACCTTTTAACATTTTATCACATACATCTGGCCCGCCCTTATGTCTGATTTTGTTATTTTATATTGCTCATTTCATTTTATATTTTATATTTTGTTTGATGTGTTTGTGTTGTTTTTTTGTCTTATTATGTTTGGGACTTATTATGTTGGGGCTTGGCTTCATGTTAGCCGCCCCGAGTCCCCTTTGGGGAGATGGTGGCAGGTTATAAATAAAGATGATGATGATTGTTATTATTATTATTATTATTTACCTTTTGTGCAAACAGATATAGGCAATGTAAAGGGCTTTTGGAACTATGTTTAGACCTACAAGGGCAAAGAGTAATTGGGAGCCTTCCAAAGGCTTTTGGAGGGTTCAATGTGCCTGTTGTGACTGCCATTGCATTGCCAAATCAGCCCCAAAGTCCCAGATTTTGGATTTCCTGGAAACCTCCAGCCTTGGAGCGGATTTGGGAATCTGAGAGGGGAAAGTAAGCCAGAAAGTTGATTTAATCAGATCCCCTAATAGGATTCCCTCCAGGGCCTGCAGTCTTCTTGGCAGAATAGAAATTGTGCACAAAATTGCAGTTGGCAATGCAAGGGAAGAACATTGTAACATGTTGAAGAGTTGCTCTTTGCAGGTCACTTTCCTTCTTGTTTCAATGTCCAGAAAGGGTTGGGAATGTACTAAAGAGGCCAAGGGAAGCATGGTTCTCCAGAATTTCCTGGACTGCAGCTCCCAGAAGCTTGACTCAGATGACCAATGGGCCTAGATGATGGGAGATGTAGTGCAGCACTAACGGGAGGACCACCCTGGGCCTTTAACATAATGTTGGTTGCCTTATCAAAGTCTGAAATAAAGTTTTGTTGGGTGAGTCCTTAGATCTTTGGATTCTATGGAGGCTTGGAATAATAATAATAATAATAATAATAATAATAATAATAATAATAATAATATAATTTTATTTATACCCCACCTCCATCTCTCCAAGGGACTTGGGGCGGCTTACATGAGGCCAAGCCAAACAACACATCTATAACAAGAAAGCAATAAACAAAAAAATAACAACAATACAGTTAAATAAATCACATATAAACATTAACATGCAAGAATTTAGAAACCTATGGCCGGGCCAAATGTAGTAGTTAAAAGTTAAAAAAAAACACTGGGCATGAGCAAGGTAGGATATATCTAATAGGAGGGTTTTAAAGAAGTGAGGGGAGCACAATCCAAGTGGATAGTTAAAGTGCATTTGAGGACATTTTGCTGGGAATTATTTCCTTATTCTGGGAAGGCACACTGGAACAGCCACGTTTTCAGGCCCCTCCTAAAGACTGCCAATGTTGGGACAAAGATTGCCAATGTTGGGGAATCTGTTCAGGACCTCCCAGCTGGGGTTGTTACTATCCTGTATGAAGAGGGACATGACTAGTCAGGGGATTGTGGGAGCTGTCATCCAAAAGGGGCAACATCCCAGCTGGGATTTCTACTATCTTGATTTTGCCTGACTTGCACACTCTGAAAGCTACAGTCCAAAAACCCAGCATCTCAGCTGGGATTTCTTCTGTTCTCTGTGGAGAAGGATTTTGACTGGCTTGTGAATTCTGAGAGTTGTAGTTCAAAAAGTTGACATCTGAGTTGGGATTTCTACTGTCTTACATGAAGTGGGACTTTGACTGGCTTACAGATTCTGGGAGTTGTAGTCCAAAAAGCTGACATCTGAGCTGGAATTGCTTCACGTCATGTGTGGAAAGAGGTTTGATTCCGGGGGATTCTGGGAGCTGTCATCCAAAAGGAGCAACACCCTGTTTGTCTTGTATGAAGAGGAACTAACCTAGTTAGTTAGGGGATTCTGGGAGTCATCATCTAAAGGGGGGGGGGAATCCCAGTGGGGATGTCGACTGTTTTGACTTTGGTTGACTTGTGCATTCTGGGAGCTGCAGTCTGAAAATGTGAAGTGGGACTTTGAGTGGTTTGTGAATTCTTGCCATTGTGGTCTAAACACTTGACATCACAGCTGAGATTTATCCTGTCTTGTGTGGAGAAGAACTTCAACATGTCGGGGGATTCTGGGAGCTGTAGTCCAAAAGGTTGACACCTGGACTGGGATATCTACCACCCTGTGTGGATTCAACCGGGTTTCTGTGTCCAAAAAAGGCAAAATCCCGGCAGTGGTGTCTACTGTGCTGTTTGGGGAGAGACTTGGACTGGTATGTGGATTCTGGGACAACCAATCCCGAAAAGCCAAGATAGGTGATCTTGGGAGGAGAGGCCTACCCAGATGCTTCAAGAAACAAGCCATGCCCTTGCTAGGCTGTGTCCAAGGGCCAAAGGGGGCTGCGGGTCCCCCCAACAATGGCCCCGGGAAGGAAGCTCCGGGCCTCCTCCTTCATTCATTAGAGGGGCTCTGATGCCAGGCAGGCCATTAGATCGTTGCCCGTGGACGTCTGAATCCCTTGAGGATGTCAGAGCAATTTGTCCATCCCGCCGGGATGAGAGGCCTGGGCCGGCGGGATTGAGGTCCAGTGCCCCCGGCTGGCGCGGGCCCGGCGGGGCGGCTTGCGTCTCCCTGTCGCCACCTTCGACGGCAATCATCGTCAGCCCAGAAAAGCACTTTGGACAGGGCCCCACCTCCCCTGTCTTCCCTCCCCTCTGTCCCATAGTAAGGGAGAGTTGAGGGGGGGATTAGTCTCTAGGGGATTGGGGAGGGTGGCAACCTTGGGGAGGGGAGGGGAGACAAGGTGGGGTCAGCCCCCCCAGCATTCATTAGTTCTTCCCCAGAATTAATCAGTTCCTCCTCTCTAGCATTAATTAGTCTTTGCATTTGTTCCCATTCTCCTTTGCGTTGGGTTCCTGGGGTCAGGCCCTGCCTTGCCTTTGGTCCTTCCTTGGCCCTTTCCTTGGTGCAAATATCAAGCCAAGGAAATGTCAGGAGGCAAATACAAACTGGTGGGAAGGACAGCTGAAGGAAATGGGCCACAGTCTTTTGACTCAAATCATAAATGTTTAATAATAATAATAATAATAATTTATTTATTTACGCTATTTCTATCCTGCCTTTCTCGAACCCGAAGGTGACTCAAGGCGGCTTACGCTAGGCAGCCATTTGATGCCATAACAAAATACAATTAAAACATTTACAACAAATTTGTAAAATCCATCAAATGAAACCATTAAAAACATATAAAACCAATGCCTTCATTGTTAATCTCGTTGTCCAAAAACATAGTCTGAGCCATTCCACAATTCAATATCATATAGTTTTGTGTTTGTCTATTGCACCGAGTTTCCAAATGCTTGTTCAAAAAGCCAGGTTTTTACTTTTTTCTGGAAGGTCAGGAGGGCGGGGCCCGATCTACTATCCCTAGGGAGTATGTTCAACAGCCAAGGGGCCACCACTGAGAAGGCCCTGTCTCGCATCCCTGCCAGTCACGCCTGCGAAGAAGGGACCGAGAGCAGGGCCTCCCCAGCCGATCTTAAGCTCCTAGATGTTTCATAGGGAGAGATACGTTCGGACAGGTAAGCTGGGCTGGAACCGTTTAGATAAGCTGGGCCAGAATCGTTTAGGGATTTATAGGCTAAAGCCAACACTTTGAATTGTGCTGAGTAGCAAACTGGCAGCCAGTGGAGCTGACGCAACAAAGGATTTGTGTGCTCCCTGAGTGCTGCTCCAGTGAGCAATCTGGCTGCCACCCGCTGGACCATTTGAAGCTTCTGAACACTCTTCAAAGGCAACCCAATGTAGAGCGTGTTGCAGTAGTCTATTCAGGATGTAACCAGAGTGTGGACTACCATGGCCAAGTCAGACTTCCCAAAGTATGTGCGCAACTGGCACACAAGTTTTAACTGTGCGAATTCTCCCCTGGCCACCGCCAAAACCTGGAGTTCCAGGCTCAGCGATGAATCCAGGAGAACACCCAAGCTGCGAACCTGCATCTTCAGGGGGAGTGTAACCGCATCCAATGCAGGCTGTAACCCTATGCCCAGTTCGACCTTGCGACTGACCAGGAGTACCTCCGTCTTGATGATGTTGTCAAGACAGTCCAACGTATGATCGAATACAAAAGCCAGTACAGTGATCTTGTTTGCTGTGTACTAATCTTGTGTATCAAATAATAATAATGATAATAATAATAATAATAATAATAATAATAATAATAATAATATGGTTCTGGTAATGAGAGAGACTTTGGAGAGGAATACCACACGACTTGGCAAAACATTTCCATGAAATCACCCTCAATGGAATACAAGGAGAGCTAGTATGATTTTGAGCTGTGGACTATGCAGATTGTGACCAAGTCCCCACTCGACCAAAGAAACACACAGCTGGTGTGTAGCTCTCTGGCACTGCAATGTTTCTTTCATCTACTGCTCTCCGGGGCTGATGGGAATTGTCATCCAGCAAGTTTTGGAGGACCACCAATAACTTCTCCAGATTATTACCATGAACATGGTGGTCTGGATGGAGTATTGTGCCTTGATCTCTTTGTTTGTGGAGCTGGGATGCTTCTCTTTAAGTGCAGACTATCCCACTTATAATGGCATAATGGGTTATCCTTCAGCCAGTGGGACGGTGAAGCCACCACAGACTTGAGCCTGAACATTTGGTGAGCTGTCCATGGTGCTGAACCCTTTCCCAGGAGGCATAACTTGTCTGATGCCCATCCTTTCCTTCTTCCTTTGCAGATCATCCTCAACTCCATGCACAAATACCAGCCCCGGCTCCACATTGTCAAAGCAGATGAGAACAACGGCTTTGGCTCCAAAAACACCGCCTTCTGCACCCATGTCTTTGCTGAGACGGCTTTCATTGCGGTGACCTCCTACCAGAACCACAAGGTGAACCAAGGAGGACTGGCTGGGATTGAATAAATGGATTTTATTATGATGGTCACAGACCAGAAGTGTGCTAGAATTGGGGAGACCTTCAGGAGGACCTAGAGCAGCATTTCTCAACCTGGGGGTCAGGACCCCGGTGGGGGGGGGTTGTGAGGGGGGTTTCAGAGGGGTCTCCAAAGACTATAAGAAAACATAGTATTTGCTGTTGATCATAAGGGTTCTATATGGGAAGTTTGGCCCAATTCTATCATTTGTGGAATTCAGAATGCTCTTTGATTATAGGTGAACTATAAATCTCAGCAACTACAACTCTCAAATGTCAAGATCTATCTTCTCCAAACTCCACCAGTGTTCACATTTGGGCATATTTTGTATTCGTGCCAAGTTTGGTCCAGATCTATCATTGTTTGATTCCACAGTGCTCTCTGGATGTAGGTGAACTACAACTCCTAAATTCAAGGTCAATGTCCACCAAACCCTTCCAGTATTTTTTGTTGGTCATGGGAGTTCTGTGTGCCAAGTTTGGTTCAATTCCATCGTTGGTGGATTTCAGAATGCTCTTTGATTGTAGGTGAACTATAAATCCCAGCAACTACAACCCCAAAATGACAAAATCAATCCACCCCAATCCCACCAGTATTCAAATTTGAGCATATAGGGTATGAAAATACATCCTGTATTTTAGATATTTAAATTACGATTAACAACAGTAGCAAAATTACAGTTATGAAGTAGGAACAAAAATAATGTTATGGTTGGAGGTCACCACAACATGAGGAACTGTATTCAGGTGTCACAGCATGAGGAAGGTTGAAAACCAATGACCTAGAGAGTCATTCTGCAGGACCTAGAGATTCCAAGAGAGAGTATCTCTAGGTCTTTCAGGATGAATCTAGGATGTCTAGGTCCTTCATTTGACGGTCAACTTTCAGTAGAAATTAACTATAAAGTCATCCTGGAGAATATGGGCATTCTTAGAGAGGTATTCGCTAATGTAAGATAGCAATGTTTTACATGCATTGGGTTTTAAATTTCATGGGGGTTCTCTGGCCAAATCCCAGTGAATGGGGAAAGATGAGTATAAATGCATGTTTGTCAAGAAGAAGAAAGGAAATCATAATATGTCCAAATGAAATTCCAGACATTCTATCTGTGGCAATTCAAAGAAATGCCTCCTTGGTGAAAGTGTGGACTGTGAGCAGAAAAGTCATTATTACTATCTTAGGACTTCATCTCATAGAATTCTCCAGTCAATATAGCCAGTGACTTCTGGGAGTTGTAATAGAGCTCTGGTGTGGATACAAGGCACTTTAGATCTGAGGCTTTATGTTGGGCTGAGATCAGTAACAAATAATATTTGGGCAGGTAGAATCATAGAATCATAGAATCAAAGAGTTGGAAGAGACCTCATGGGCCATCCAGTCCAACCCCCTGCCAAGAAGCAGGAATATTGCATTCAAATCAACCCCTGACAGATGGCCATCCAGCCTCTGTTTAAAAGCTTCCAAAGAAGGAGCCTCCACCACACTTGGGGCAGAGAGTTCCACTGCTGAATGGCTCTCACAGTCAGGAAGTTCTTCCTCATGTTCAGATGGAATCTCCTTTCTTGTAGTTTGAAGCCATTGTTCCGCATCCTAGTCTCCAGGGAAGCAGAAAACAAGCTTGCTCCCTCCTCCCTGTGGCTTTCTCTCACATATTTATACATGGCTATCATATCTCCTCTCAGCCTTCTCTTCTTCAGGCTAAACATGCCCAGCTCCTTAAGCCGCTCCTCATAGGGCTTGTTCTCCAGACCTTTTATCATTTTAGCCGCTCTCCTCTGGACACATTCCAGCTTGTCAATATCTCTCTTGAATTGTGGTGCCCAGAACTGGACAAAATATTCCAGATGTGGTCTAACCAAAACAGAATAGAGGGGTAGCATTACTTCCCTAGATCTAGACACTATGCTCCTATTGATGCAGGCCAAAATCCCATTGGCTTTTTTTTGCCGCCACATCACATTGTTGGCTCATGTTTAACTTGTTGTCCACGAGGACTCCAAGATCTTTTCACACGTACTGCTCTCGAGCCAGGCATCCCCCATTCTGTATCTTTGCATTTCGTTTTTCCTGCCAAAGTGGAGTATCTTGCATTTGTCACTGTTGAACTTCATTTTGTTAGTTTTGGCCCATCTCTCTAATCTGTCAAGATCGTTTTGAATCCTGCTCCTGTCCTCTGGAGTATTGGCTATCCCTCCCAATTTGGTGTTGTCTGCAAACTTGATGATCCTGCCTTCTAACCCTTCATCTAAGTCATTAATAAAGATGTTGAACAGGACCGGGCCCAGGACGGAACCCTGCGGCAAGTTTACAGGCTATTTCAAGTTTACAGGCTATTCATAATCCATTCTGCTTATCTGCCAGAAAAGCGGTTTATTGGTAGATGTAGAACCACATGTCATTCTAACTGTGACTCCTCTTCCAAATGGTCTAATAAGCAAGGGCTTTTGTGCCATTTTTATCCCAGGAGTGTCATCCTAGACCGCTTTATAGCCTCCTTTCCATAAGGAAAATCCATTTGCATTGAAGTTGCCAACTATCTTTCCCCCCGGCATGACTCTGGTTGCCTAAACCTTGACTCATAAAAATTCCAGTGGGCAAAACATTCTCCATGTTAACCGAGGAATGCTTTTTTTCTTCCATCTTCACTTTGAATTGTGTGCCTTTGAGCCATCTCTGACCCTAAAGTGTGACCTGATAACAGTTTTTTCTGGGGCTGAGAGAGTGTGACTTGCCCACAGGTTTCCATGGCTAAGAAGGGAATCAAACCCCAGTCTTTGGAGACATAGTCCAATGCTTAAATCATTACCTCTCACTTTCAGTCCCCCCTGTAACAATTGCTAATATGGGTTGAGCATTCCTTATTCGGAATCCCAAAATACTCCAATCCCAAAATTATTAATATGGCTGGCTAAGACCACAGCACCTTTGTTTTCAGATGATTCAATGTACCCTCACTTTGTTTCATGCATAAAAATATATTGGGTATAAAGTGAGTTATGTGTGCAATAAATTATATATGAAACTTCTTTGGGTTTAGACTTGGGTCCCACTTGTAAACAATCTTATGATGGACATATGGGAAATGCAGATATTCCCAAACTGGAGGGAAAATAAAAAATCTAAAGCACTTCCAGTCCCAAGTATTTTGGAAAAAGGAGACTTAGCCTGATCTTTTGATGGTTCGCAGTCCGAATAAACAAAGATCTGACTGCATATTTTTCCTACACTTCCTTTCAGATCACCCAGCTCAAGATTGAAAACAACCCTTTTGCAAAAGGATTTAGAGGCAGTGACGACATGGAGCTGCACCGAATGTCCAGGATGCAAAGGTAATATTTGTAGAGGGATTCTTGATAAAGAGGGACATGGACATCCACCAGATATTCTTAATTTTGGAATCTTTCTCCATGTATAGGGATGAGTTGCTTTGAAAACTCAGGGTGCATCTGCACTACCTAAGGGATGCAGTTTGACGCCGCTTGAACTGCCACCATCTCCATGCTATGGGATCCTGAGAATTGTGTTTGTACAAAGTCTTTCATTTTCTCTGATAAATGCTCACCAAACTACAACTCTCAGGATTCCACAGTATGGAACCATGACAGTGTATGCCAGTTGTGGAGGAACATGAGAAGAAAGCTCTTGTAGAAGACAGATTGGCCTCAGTGTGAACAGAAACCTGGAGTAGATAGACATTTTGGAGGAAATAGACCTTTTGAAGTAGATAGGCCTTATGGAGTAAATTGATAGACAAGTTTGGAGTAAGGAGACAGACTTTTTGGTGATGATCAGTGGTTCTCAACTTGCGGGTCCCCAGATGTTTTAGACTTCAACTCCCATAAATCCTAACAGCTGGTAAACTGGCTAGGATTTCTGGGAGTTGTAGGCCAAAACACCTGGGGAATCCCAGGTTGGGAACCACTGGTGTAGATGGATAGACCTTAGATGGATAGACATTTTGAAGTAGATGCATAGACCTTTTGGTGTATCATAGATGGACAGACCTTTTGGAAAAGATTTATAAGTCTTTGGGGTAGTTCAGTAGGTCTTTGAGGGTAGATCCATAGACTTTTTGGTGTACACCGATAGACCTTTTGGTGTAGATGGACAGACCTTTTGGCATAGATGGATAGACAATTTGGAGTAGATGCATAGACCTTTTAAAGTAGAAACATAGACCTTTTGGAGTAGATACATAGATCTTTTGGTGTACATGGATATACCTTTTGGCGTAGATGGATAGATAGGTCTTTTAGTCTGATCCAATAATCTCCTCTTACGCTTTTTGGAGAGCATTTCAAAGAAAGAAGATCCAGCAAGCCTACTGTCTTCCGATCCCTGCACTACAATTTCCGCGTACCATCTCTGTTCTGCTTGAGATCATATTATTTGGTCGGGGGCAGAAGGCAGCTTTGGTTTTGGATAATTCTTTCCCGTATTGTCAGTCTTCTTGAACTGCTTTGGTTCCATCTGAGGAAATTTGAGGATTGGAGGTGTTTTGTAGATCCTCAGCTGAAACCTTTTAGGGTTAAACTACCAACTCCAGGATTCCACAGAGTTATAGCACTGTGGTTTTGTAGAATTTCTGTGTAGATGGACTTGCTGTGAGCGGAGAGGAGGGGGCAGTGACTCTACTTTGGACTCTACTTTCAATTTTATTTCAGATGTTCAAAAGAGCTCTCCAGGGTCCTGAACTTAGTTTGGCATCTCAGCATTTGGCAGATATTTTAGAATTTGATCAAAACTTAATTATCTATCATCTTTGATTTTTCTCACTTGTTTGATCTATCTCCCAAAGCGTGGACAATTTGGGGAGAAAGAAAATTCCAATAATTATACAAAATAATCAAATTATGACCAGGTGGCCCACTCTGACTCTGACTTGCCCCTGACGTGAAATGTAACTGTGGCCGTTGGATGCGCATGACATGTAAGCGATGCGAGTGGATCCATGTCGGCTTTCTGCAAACACAAAGAGCCACCTGTTTCTCATTGTTTTAAATGCGCTATCTCGTTGTGCATATATATTTATAGGTCCAGGGCATTTCCCTTTCTTTCAAGGGAGGTTTTGCAAGATGAGAGCCAGGTTTGGGACTCTCGGCACAGCTGGCCACCGTATGAGAGGCCTTCCCCTCTTTCTTCTCGAAACGTATGAGTGCCATCCGCTGGAACTTTCTTCATTGTGTTTTTTCCCACAATTGAGAAAAACAACTACTGGCCAATTTCTAATCTCCCTTTCTTAGGCAAGGTTTTAGAGCAAGTGGTGGCCTTTCAGCTCCAGGAATTCTTGGATGAAACTGATTATCTGATCTGTCACAGTCTGTTTTCAGGGCTGGTCATGGTACAGAGACAGCTTTGGTCACCTTAGTGGGTAACCTCCCCAGAGACATAGACAGGGGGAGTGTGTCCTTGCTGGTTCTCTTGGACATTGACCATGGTATCCTTTTGGGGCGGCTCTCCAAAATGGGTCCTGGGGGCACTGCTTTGCAGTGGCTCCTCTTCTTCTTGGAGGATCATGCCCAGTTGGTGAAGCTGGGAGACTCCTGCTTGGACCCATAACCATTGATCTGTGGGGTCCCACAAGGTTCTATTCTATCTCCCATGCTTTTCAACATCTACATGAAACTGCTGGGTGAGGTTATCCAGAGTTTTGGAGCTTGGTACCATCTTTATGCAGATGACATTCAATTCTATTACGCCTTTCCACCGAATTCCAAGGAAGCCCCTTGGATCCTGAACCAGTGCCTGGCTGCTGTGACGGACTTGATGAGGGCTAACAAACTGAAGCTTAATCCAGACAAGACAGAGGTCCTCCTGGTCAGTTGCGAGGCTGATCAAGGTATAGGGTGCCAACCTGTGCTCGATGGGGTTACACTCCCCCTGAAGACACAGGTTTGCAGTCTGGAGGTCCTCCTGGATTCAGCACTGACGCTTGATGCTCAAGTGTTGGCTGTGACCAGGAGGGTTTCTGCACAATTAAAGCTTGTGCATCAGCTCCGACCATACCTCAAGAAATCTGACTTGGCCACGGTGGTCCATGCCTTAATTACATCCAGATTGGATTGCTGCAATGCACTCTACATGGGACTGCCTTTGAAGACGGCTTGGAAACTGCAACTGGTGCAAAGGTCGGCAGCCAGGTTGCTAACTGGAGCTAATTATAGGAAGTGGATGACGCCCCTACTAAAGCAGCTCCACTGGCTGCCGATAAGCTTCCAGTCCCAATTTAAAGTGCAAGTTATCTCCTACAAAGCCCTAAATGGTTCCGGTCCTGCCTATCTTTGTGACTGCATCTTCCCTTATGAACTGGCGCGAGCTCTAATATCTGCCAGGGAGGTCCTCCTCTTGCTCCCATCACTATCACAGGTCTGCAGTCTGGTTAGTGGGGACAAGAGAGAAGGTCTTCTCGGTCATGGCCCCCTGGCTCTGGAATTTCCTCCCCAGGAAGATTAGGCTAGCCCCCACTCTTCTCACCTTCTGTAGGGATTTGAAATCCTAGATGTTACAGTGTGCATTTGATGATGGTTAGTCCCTGTTCATGAATGCCCACCCCTATATACAATATAGTTATTCCTCCAAGAAATGCTGGTGCTCCCAATGATCAAAATAGAGTCCCTTCCTATTTGACATACAGATGGTCCCTGAGTTATAAACATCTGACTTAGAAATGACTCCTAGTTAAAAACAGGGGTGAGACAACAGGAAGTGAGAGAAATCTACCCCTCGGAAAGGAAATTCACTCCTGAAAGAGTTATCATCATGGGAAAAAGTGGTCTCCAATCATTGTTTCCAATCATTGTTTCCACAACAAGCCGTTTTTTTCCCCAAAATCCATTTATCACAGGGACAGAAAATGAGATGAAAACTTCTGAACAGGAGCACAGGAAGCAAAGGAAAGACCACAGGGGTGTTTACCCTTCCCTATGCTATCCAAAACTATCTAACTATATATATATATATATATATATATATATATATATATATATATATTCCAACTTACAAACAAATTCAACTTAAGAACAAACCTAGAGAACTGATCTTGCTTTTAACTTGGGGATTGTCTGRATTTTTTAAAATATTGAGATTTTCCCCATAGAACTAAAGTTTCATACAATGGAACAAAACACCCATCAAAGAGGAAAAAGGAAGCTAAAGGAAAGAAATTGAGATAGCATCAAAAAGGAATACATAGATATGGGTTAAAAATATAGATAGAGGACTTGGACTTCCTTTCCAGTGGCTGTAAGGGGATTAGGGGCACAGGAACCTCATAAATGTGGGAAAATACAAATATTTTTATTTTTATCTGAGATAATACCTCTATAGGAATCTCTGGGTCCTCCAGCATGACTCTACAGCCAATAGTGGTCCATTGACCGTGGGGACCTTCTTAGTCCACTTGAGCTATCATTGAAGCTTTATTCTTTAAGCAATGGCTCTGGTTTTGAGAATGGATATGAGTTCATTATCAGAAGAAATGATGTTTTCAGAGTGCGGGACAAGATTATTTCACTGTACATTATACTCCCCTTCCCACTTTGGCCTGTGTTTCCAGCAAGGAGTATCCCGTGGTTCCCCGGAGTACGGTACGGCAGAAGGTGGCCTCCAACCACAGCCCTTTCAGCGGTGAGACCCGGGCTCTCTCGACCTCATCTAACCTTGGATCTCAGTTCCAGTGTGAGAACGGCGTATCCAGCACCTCCCAGGACCTGATTCCCCCAACCAACCCCTACCCTGTGTCCCAGGAGCATGGCCAGATTTATCATTGCACCAAGAGAAAAGGTGAGCACTCAGGGAGAGCTCAGAAAGAATGCCTTGATTGTGAAAGTTGGCATTGCCATGGCCAATGGGGGTGTCAGTTTGGAAACTGGAGAGAGCTCTTGTACCTTTAATAAACAGATTGAAAGCTGAAGAGGGCTTCTGTAGCTTTAATTGCCAGGTTGGACACTGGAGGGAAATCCTGTAACTATTATTTTATGTTTATTTATACCCCACTTTTTCTCTGCACAAGGTGACTCAAAGCAGCTGATTAATAGATTGAAAGCTGGAGTTGACTTCTGTACCTTTATTTGCCAGATTAAAAACTGGAGACGGCTCCTGTACCTTTAATTAACAGATTGAAAGCTGGAAAGGGATTGTGTATCATTCATCAACAGATTGAAAGCTGGAGAGGATTTCTGTACCTTTAATTAACAGGTTGTAAGCTGGAGATGGCTCCTGTACCTTTAACTGCCAGATTGAAAACTGGAGAGGGTTCCTGTACCTTTAACTGCCACATTGAAAACTGGAGAGGGCTCCTGTACCTTTAAATGCCACATTGAAAACTGGAGAGGGCTCCTGTACCTTTAAATGCCACATTGAAAACTGGAGAGGGCTCCTGTACCTTTAACTGCCAGATTGAAAACTGGAGAGGGTTCCTGTACCTTTAACTGCCACATTGAAAACTGGAGAGGGTTCCTGTACCTTTAACTGCCAGATTGAAAACTGGAGAGGGCTCCTGTACCTTTCATTGCCAGCATGAAAGCTAGAATTACAGGTGTAGAAGTCAGAGTGAAGAAACATCTAAGCCTTTTTGGAGTGGGAACAAAAAACCTTCTGAGAAACTTTGGGTAAATTGAGCACAAATTGACATCACTTGAACTGCCATGGAATTTGTAATATGTGATGAGATGCTGAGGACTTGTGTTTTATGGTTTTTATTGTTTTATTGCTTTTATATGGTTTATATAAAAGCAATAAAACAATAATGTTTTAAACTGCATTTATGTATTTTGGGGGCATTGACTGCCGACTGTAAACTGCCTCGAGTCACCTCCGGGTTGAGAGGGGCAGTATATAAATATGGTAAATAAATAAATAGTTTGGTAAGGCCCCAAACACTCTTTGGCAGGGAAAGCAAAAGGTTTGTTCAAATTACAACTCTCAGGATTCCATCACACTGAGCCAGAATAGTTCAAGTGGTGTCGAACAGCATTCATCTGCAGTGCAGATGCAGATGCACCGGGAGTGCTTCCCCCCACGCCCATGAGCTTCCCTTTATCTTCTAGTTCTTTTCTCCCCTCCACAATGTTTGTTCTTCAGGCAGCTTCCCAACAAATGTGGTGCTATAGCAGCAACAATTACAGTCATTTCAGTGCATATTAACAAAGAGATGAAACGCAGAGAAGGTGGCCACATAGTTCTAGAGAAGCTGAATCCACAACCGACAAGATAGCTGGTGCCTGAGATAAAGATAACTTATCAGGCCAGGAGGCCTCCGAAAAGGATTCAGGATTAATTCCAATACCAAAAGAGCGAGTGCAGGGTTCTTTGGAAGGCTGAAATTTCCAGTGATTTCAAGAGACTACACAGACGTTTTGAGCCAGCTGGACAAAATGGGAATGTTTGAAAAGCAGTGGCTGAACATTTCCCAGTTCAATTTGAATACATGTTTTGAATTAGTATTTTCTTTTCAAAAAAGTCTTGAGTTTAAATGCAGTTCGGGGGCGGGGGGGCGGTTTGACATCCCTTGAATGCGAAACACTATGGAATCCTGAGTGTTGTAGTTTGGCAAGGGCCCCTGGCAATAAGGTTAGATGTATGTTTGATAGTAGAGATAGCGTAGTGGTTTGAGTGTCAGGCTATGGCTCCGGAGACCAGGATTTGAAGCCTTGCTCTGACCTGAGTGAACTTGAGTGAGTCACATTCTCTCGGCCTTCTCATGGCAAACCCCTTTCGAGTGAGATTGTGGCAAGAAAACCCCATGATAGGGTTGCCAGACATTGGAAACAACTTGAAGGCACACAAAAACAGCGCAATGTATTTGACTAATCTAATATCCCGATCCCCCCCCCTTTTTGCCTCCTTTCCTGAAAGCCATATGCCGCAAGATCTTTCATAAAGGAGAAGAATAATTCAATCCTTTCCACACCTGCCAAAAGCACGCATCTATAAGTTATTCTCTCCTACTTGGATGAGATCTCTTTCATATTTGCTTTAGCAAGGCATAGCTCAGTGTTTCTCAACCTGGGGGTTGGGACCCGTGGGGGGGGGGGGGTCAGAGGGGATGTCAGAGGCGTCGCCAAATACCACCAGAAAACATAGTATTTTCTGTTAGTCATGGGGGTTCTGTGTGGCAAGTTTGGCCCAATTCTATCATTGGTGAGGTTCAGAATGCTCTTTGATTGTAGGTGAACTATAAATCCCAGCAACTACAACTCCCAAATGTCAAGGTCTATTTCCCCAAACTCCACCAGTGTTCATGTTTGGGCATATTGAGTATTCATGCCAAATTTGGTCCAGATCCATCATTGTTTGAGTCCACAGTGCTCTCTAGATGTAGGTGAAGTACAACTTCAAAACTCAAGGTCTACTGTCCACCTTTGTAAGCCACATCGAGTCCTTCGGGAGATGCTAGCGGGGCACAAATAAAGTTAATAATTAATAAATAAATAAATAAATAAATAAATAAATAAATCCCTTCCAGTATTTTCTGTTGGTCACGGGAGTTCTGTGTGCCAAGTTGGTTCAAGTCCATCTTTGGTGGAGTTCAGAATGCTCTTTGATTGTAGGTGAACTGTAAATCCCAGCAACTACAACTCCCAAATGACAAAATCAATCCCCCCCCAACCCCACCAGTATACAAATGTGGGCGTATTGAGTATTTGTGCCAAATTTGGTCCAGTGAATGACAATGCATCTACATATCAGATAGTTACATTATGATTCATAACAATAACAAAATTATGGTTGTGAAGTAGCAACAAAAATAATTTTATGGCTGGGGGTCACCACAACATGAGGAACTGTATTAAGGGGTGGCAGCCTTAGGAAGCTTGAGAAACACTGGCATAGCTCCATGCGTTCAGTCCTTAAGTTGGGTTTATACGTCTCCCAACTGAAAGAAAGAGATGGCAAAACTGTGCTTAGATGGATGCTGTATGTATTGATCAACTTCTTGAATGTATACTCTGCTTTTCCCCCAAGGCACAATCCAAATAACCTGTATTAATGTTAATCCTATTTGGCAAAAGTCCAGAAAAGAATCAAACCCCAATGTTATCCAAAGCATTACTGAAACAGTCGAAACATATCTAAATAATAATTAAAAACTTTCATAAAATAATAATAATAATAATAATAATAATAATTATTATTATTATTATTATTTTCATGGCAAGATTTACTCAGAATTTTGTTATGGACTTCTAATGAGGCTGAGAGGTGGGACTTGCCCAAGGTTATCCAATGGGTTTCCAAGGCTGAGGGGGGATTCGAACTTTGGTCTCCAATGTCTTTTGATGGGATTTTCTGCTAAAAGAACATGGCCAGCTTTGTAGCCCTTCCACACAGCCCTATATCCCAGAATATCAAGGCAGAAAATCCCACAATATCTGCTCTGAACTGGTTTATTTGAGTCCACACTCAGATAATGTGGTTTTTTCTGCCTTGATATTCTGGGATATAGGGCTGTGTGGAAGGGGCCTTGGTTCCTCTGTCCCATGATTTGCAGGTGGCAATGGTGTGCCCTCTCTGGCTTTGCTGCTGAGGCTCTCCATGGAGCTGTCCAACCTTAAGTCTTCCCCAACTTCCCTTTCCCTAGAATCTCCGAAAGCAGCCCTTTGGAACAAAACGTTGGCATATCCTGGTCACACGAGACCCATCCATCATCTGACTCTGACATCCCCAAACGATAAAAGAAACTACAACAAAGGTTTCCGTCCAGTTTTGGGATTCCCACTCTGTGAGTGTGTGGCTCCCTTTGGCTCCTTTCCTCCCTGTTATCTAATTTCCTTGCATTGTCAGAAGAGCGAGGACTATCTCGCTGGCCAGCCAAACCGGCCACTCGCTTGCTTGCGGATGAAGGCTGGCGTGTCTTGTCTCCTTGCTATCTCGGCAACGTCTCAAGCCCATCCGAAGGCTCATTTATCAAAGTCTCTGTGCTTTCATCACAGAGAGGCCACATCCTCCTAGCATTTTCAATGCCTCCAAAGCGGGGCATCCCCAGGGCACAAAATGCCCTGTCCGCAATGTTCTACTACCATGTTTAGACAAAAAAAACAGAAGGCACGCGGAAGAGTTCATGTTTAGCTGATCTTAGATGAGGGCAACTTGTGATCCTCAGGGTATCATCCATTTTCCCAGGACAGATGGGACCTGCTGTCCAGCCACTTTTTGAAAAGCCACCCCAGTTTTGGAGCTGGACTTCATGGCCTTGCCCCAGTCACATTCTCCTTAATGGCTTTATAGTGTTGCCACTCTATTTTCTTTTCTCCAGACTAAGCTTACCCTGCTCAAGTAAACAATTCAAGGGAGATGATGACAAGCTGGAATGTGTCCAGAGGAGGGTGACTAAAATGATCAAGGGTCTGGAGAACAAGCCCTATGAGGAGCGGCTTAAAGAGATGGGCATGTTTAATCTGAAGAAGAGAATGATGAGAGGAGATATGATAGCCATGTATAAATATATGAGAGGAAGTCATAGGGAGGAGGGATCAAGCTTGTTTTCTGCTGCCCTGGAGACTAGGAAGCAGAACAATGGCTTCAAACTACAAGAATGGAGATCCCATCTGAATATTAGGAAGAACTTCCTGACTGTGAGAGCTGTTCAGCAGTGGAACTCTCTGCCCCAGAGTGTGGTGGAGGCTCTTTCTTTTGAGGCTTTTAAACAGAGGCTGGATGGCCATCTGTCAGGGGTGCTTTGAATACAATTTTCTTGCTTCTTGGCAGAGGGTTGGACTGGATGGCTCATGAGGTCTCTTCCAATTCAATGATTCTATGATTCTAATTTCTCTGTAGGCTTGATTTCCAGACCTTTTAGTATCTTGGCCAACTTATATAACAGGCTTCGGTCTTCCTACCGCCTGCAGTTCTGTTGCATGCAACTAGTTGTTCGGTACCCTCCTTAGCCCTTAAACAGAAGAACTGGGCACTATCATGTTCTCCCTTCCTTCCCCCCTTCTTCCATGTCATTTGCATGCCTTCCTTTCACTTGGCAAACAATGCTTGTCCTTACATTGTCTTGCGGTTCACGTTATGACAGTTTCTGTTATCATCATCATTATGAGCCTGCAAGCGAGAGCAGGACATCTTTCTTTTCGGGAGCCTGCCTAGCTTCCGTTGAAAGGAAGGCAATCGACTGGCCGCCAATGTAGCTGCCCTTTCCGCTGGCACTTCTGGCAGTGCTTCTTCTGTGTTGATGTCTCAGCAGGAGTGCCATTTAGAGACAGGGAGGGCGGCGGACCCCCTACTCCTTGGGAAAAGGGTGGGTACCATACAGTGTGTGGGGCTGGAGGTGGCCTTTTCAACCCTGTTTTGTGGCCTTCTGCTCCTCACCGCTGCATAACCAGCCCTGGCGGCTCCTGCCACCGCCATTATGCATGCCACTGAGATCTGCAGTGACTCCTTCCTTTGCCTTCCTGTCTCTTCTCCCTAGTGCGGAACAGTCGAGCAACCTCCTGAACCATAGAGGTGCATCGAGAGCTGGCACAGTGGCTGCCTCATGCTAGCGCTGGCGGCAGAATTGGTAATGTGCGGAGTCAATTGTGTGATGACGATGGGGGGCAAAATGTAGGCATTGCCCTTTGCATTAGACGTCGTTGCAGTCCTCAGCTGGAGAGGGAGGAGGAAACATGGATACCTTTACAGATGCATGTACACTATCGACTGACCTGCTATGAATTGCTATGAAATCCTGAGAGTTGTACTACTACTTCTTACTACTACTACTACTACTACTACTACTACTACTACTACTACTTAGGCAATCCCTCGTTGTCCAAGTAGGATAGTCTTCCAAGATCAGTGTACTGGTGGGTCCATAGGTGACTGTGGAGCCCTATTCTTGATCCGCATCTTCTCCCACACTGAGGGCATTGGTTTCTAGGTGGAAGGTGGTCTCGGTCAGGATTGGCTTGATGCGTGTGTTCCATCAGACCTGGTCAACACGATGAGGGATTGGGGATTCTGGGTGTTGTAATCCTAAAGGTCCAGAAGGGGCCCCATCAGACATCCTTGGTCTGGTGAATAGGTGTTCGCATGAGAAGTGGGACTTCTTTATGGGTCATACATACCATCCGTTTGTCCCTTTTTTTTGCAATATGATTTTTATTAGTAAAGTACAGGGAGTGGGAAAGGCTACAAGAATGGCTGTTAGACAGGGACTTTTTAAAAACATATTATCATCTTTCATAGTCATCCAATACAAAAAAAGATTTCTACAATGTTGAAAGAAAGAAAGAAAAAAAGAAAAAACTTACCTAATCTAAAACAGAGGAAGAGAAAAGAGGGTATAACGTGTATTTGAAGCAAAGAAAATAGGAAATTTGAGAAATGGAAAATAGAAAGCCCCATCTAGTACTTCCTGCCCTGTCACGGTTGTCATCTTCATAATAAAGAAACTATCTTTTGTGGGTTGCTGTGAGTTTAGAAAGGACAAGAGGGATGCTCTCACCTCTGTAGGAAAGAAGAAAGTGCAAAAGCTGGGCTGCAGTTAAACATAAAATGAACAAAATCTGGCCACCAGTATTTTAAAAAACCTCCAAAATCAGAACAGTAAATAAAGAACAACACTCAGAAAATAGGGGAATTCCAGACAAGAATCAATCAGGTCCAGCTATCACCTCCCAACAAAGGATTCCACCAGACAGCAACCAGCCAGGCTTTGAAGCTGCAAAGCCATTAGATGCTAATCAGGGTGGCCAATGACTACATTCCCATTTGCCTCCAACAGACAAGAGTTCTTTCTCCCACCCTGGACATTCCACAGATATATAAACACCACTTGCCTAATTTTCAACAGACCTCACAACCTCAGAGGATGCCTACCTTAGATGTGGGTGAAACGTCAGGAGAGAATGCTTCTGGAACATGGCCAGACAGCCCAGAAAACTCACAGCAACCCAGTGATTCCGGCCATGAAAGCCTTAAACAACACAATCTTTTTTGTCTTGTATCTTCATACTTCTGGTAGATTAATCTTCCAAAATCCCTTGGGTATCATTGGGGATCCTGTTGTTCTTGTCACCAACTCCTTTTTTTTTCTTATCTTGTTATTCCTAAATCTATGCAATAGTTACTTGCTCACACTAATGTATAAAAACCCACCGTTTTTTATATTTTCTTCTCTTTTTTAAAAAAAACTCAATAGAAGGCTGCCATTCTTCTTCAAATTTGGGAGGCTCTGTCGATTGTATAAGCTTAGTCAATTTGTCCATCTCTGCCAGAGCCATCATTTTTGTAATCCATAGATCATGGGTGGGAATCTTTTCTTGTTTCCAGTTATAACCATAGACAATCCTTGCTGCAGTCATCATATATAAAAAAAGTTTCAAAAGTTTCAGTACATCCCAACAGAAATGCTTCTAGCTCTAGTGGTACCTTAGTTTTTAGGATATTCTCCATGTTCTTATGTATTATAATGGAGATTTTTTTTTTTGCTTTAGGGCATGTTCTCCACATATGTTAAAGGGTTCCTTCTGTTTGCTGACATTTCCAACAAACATTTAAAAAAAATTAGATCCATCTTGGTTAGTGTTTCCAGTGTCATGTACCATCTATACACCATCTTGTAGAAGTTTTCTCGTAGTCCAAAACAGCAGATTCTCAGAAAGATCGAAGCAATTGGCCTGTCTTTGGAAGCACTCTTAATGCTCACAAATGAGAAAGCCTGCAAGTTAGTCAAGAGCAGACTTTTGGATCTTGACTTTCATAATCTGACTCTTGCAGCAAATACAACTTGTTCCTCTACCATGTCATTCATTCCGTGCTTATCTTCACATTTTGATTCATCCCACCCAGAGGAGAGCTTTGGCTACTGCATGATGTAATGTGTTGCCGTCAGCTCTTTTGGATCTAATAGGGTTTGTTCTTGTGACCTGGCCTCTGTTGAATCATTTCCTCATTCTTTGAATGCCCTAAATATGATATTTAGGTTGAAAGCCAGGAGGAGCTGAGGAGCCTTCTAACCAAGGTGAAAGAAGAAAGTGCAAAAGCTGGACTGCAGTTAAACATAAAAAAATCAAGATTCTGGCAACCGGACTGATTGATAACTAGCAAATAGAGGGAGAAAATGTGGAGGCAGTGACAGACTGTGTATTTCTAGGTGCAAAGATTACTGCAGACGCTAACTGCAGCCAGGAAATCAGAAGACATTTACTTCTTGGGAGGACTCTTGGGAGGAGAGCAATGACCAGTCTCGATAAAATAGTGAAGAGTAGAGACATCACACTGGCAACGAAGATCCGCATAGTTAAAGCAATGGTATTCCCCATAGTAACCTATGGATGTGAGAGCTGGACCATAAAGATGGCTGAGCAAAGGAAGATAGACGCTTTTGAACTGTGGTGTTGAAGGAAAATTCTAGAGTGCCCTGGACTGCAAGAAGATCCAACCAGTCCATCCTCCAGGAAATAAAGCCTGACTGCTCATTGGAAGGAAGGATATTAGAGGCAAAGATGAAGTACTTTGGCCACATCATGAGAAGACAGGAAAGCTTAGAGAAGACAATGATGCTGGGGAAAATGGAAGGAAAAAGGAAGAGGGGCCGACCAAGGGCAAGATGGATGGATGCTATCCTTGAAGGGACTGGCTTGACCTTGAAGGAGCTGGGGGTGGTGACGGCCGACAAGGAGCTCTGGCATGGGTTGGTCCAGGAGGTTATGAAGAGTCAGAAGCGACTCAATGAATAAACAACCGCAACAATGATAATACACGGATGAAATATGGGAATTCCATTTTTTTCACAGTTCTACAATCCAATATATTCTGAACAATTCTGATGCATTCTTTTGTGAGACTGTTGCACATTTTATTCTTGAGATTAGTAACTCTTATTAATGCTTTCCTTTTTATCTGTGACTTCCCCTTGCTATAGATGCTTGTGTTGTGATTTTGTTGTTGTATGCCAATAAAGGTTGTGTATTGTATTGTAGTCCAGGTCATCTTGTCAATTTAATATTTGTTTTCCACATCTGTTCCCACTCATTTAAATATATGTCCTTTTGTGTCTCCTGGCAGATGAGGAATGTTCGACCACAGAGCACCCCTACAAGAAGCCCTACATGGAGACCTCTCCCCAGGAGGATGAGTCCTTCTACCGCTCTGGCTACTCCCAGCAGCAGGGACTGAACACCAGCACATACAGGACTGAGTCCGCACAACGCCAAGCCTGTATGTATGCTAGCTCGGCCCCAGCCACCGAGCCAGTGCCCAGCTTGGAAGACATCAGCTGCAACACCTGGCCCCCAGTGCCCTCCTACGGCAGCTGCACTGTCACGGCCATGCAGCCCATGGACCGCCTGCCATACCAACACTTCTCAGCCCACTTCACCTCGGGCCCCCTGATGCCCCGCCTCGCTACCGTCGCCAACCATACCTCGCCCCAGATTGGGGACACCCACGCCATGTTCCAGCATCAAACTGCCGTCCCTCATCAGCCTATTGTCCGGCAGTGTGGACCTCAAGCGGGCCTCCAGTCGCCCACCAGTGGCTTACAACCGGCCGAGTTCCTTTACTCACATGGGGTGCCCCGAACCCTGTCTCCGCACCAGTACCATTCAGTCCATGGAGTGGGCATGGTGCCAGAATGGAACGAGAACAGCTAACCAGGCAATGCGAGGGAGAGCAGGGTCGGGTGGGATCTGGGGGTCCGCCGCAGCAAAATGAGGAGTGTTTTCCCCAGACTTGTTTAACTGAATGTTCATATCTATATATATAATCTATCTTTCTCTCTATATATATAAAAACCAACACTCGAGAACTGGACTGTGTCCTATCTTCCGGGGAGGGGAGGGCAGACCACGGTATTGTATTTCCTTGGCTTTTGTTGTGATCGACTGATCCATGCCTCCTCCCCGACACACAAACACACATTCACCACCACTGTCATCACACTCAGAAATAGCCACGTTGTTTGCATTGCGTCTCCCACCACCGATCCTTTGGGTTTTAGTTGTGTTGGGCATTGGGCAAGAACATGGAAAGAGAGCGCTCGGGGAAAACAATGGCAGCAACAACACTAGAATAAGTTGCGTTTTATTCCCCTACCCCTTCTTCTTCCTCTCTGTCTTTTTCTTTTGTGTTGATGATGACATTGTTATATAATAAATAATAATATATATCTGTATCGATATTCAATGTTCTTTGGAGACTCTCAGCAAAGAACCAGCTCCCCTTTTTTGGACAGAGGCTTGAAAAGGGCAGGGTGCGTAAGGCTTCAATGCTGGGGAGGCCAAATGGTTTGGTACCAATGTCTAGCTCAGTGCATTTTGGCCTTACCATCAGGTGCCCTTGTCATTTTGTGATGTGTCAAACGCTGGAGAAAATGAGAATGAAATGAGCCTCTTCATGTTTGTCTCCCCCCCCCCCCCCAATCCCCTTCCTGGTTTGAGCCTTCTCTCTTCTCTTTTACTTGAGACGCTCGCCAAGGGGATCCGGTAACTTTCAATGGAAGCTGCTCATAGCTGGCTGAAAAAGTGATGCCCCCAAGCCCCCTAAACTGGGCAGCTGTTGAAAAAGAAAACCATTCGACTGTTTGTCCTATTGGCTTTTATATATGGAATGGAGATGAGGCTTTACGATGGCCCTGGATGTGGGAGCTTATCAAAGCATCATCCATTCAGACTGACAATCAGCTTCATGGTGCCTTTGAAGATTGTAGGCTTATTGTGACCTGAGAATGCTTTGGACTAGATAAGCAGCTTAATGTTATTCTTTGGACCAAGCTAGATGTTCAGTTAAACTTCCAATGGCAGCCACGTATGTAGCATCTCGTCTTCTATAACATCTGCTACATCAGCAGTAGCTGAACATTAGAGTCTGTTAGTGTCTTCTGCAGGCATCCTTTCCCCTAGGTAAGCAGTTGGGTATTTTTGTCCTATGCAGAAGAGCCACATTCAGTCCCACTTTGCCAAAGTGTAGTTGCGCATATGGCAGATTATGCACAGCTGTGCATTGCACATCAATGCGCAGGGACCTATGCATGCATTTGCACAAGGCTATGCATTGCACATCCGTTGTACTGTGCCAAAATGCACCACTAAGATACCATTTCTTCCAGCGTTCCCTCCATGCCCCGTTGGGTGAGGCCTATGGGTGGCAGATGAGCTCTCCACTGCCATTCTTGGTGACATCAGAATTTGCAGGATGTGATTAGTTTGGACCTTAAAAGGCTTGACTTGACACCAAAGTCTAGCCCAGCCATGGATGCTGTGCAGCTTCCCAGATGTGGTTGGGTTGAAGAACCCATCAGTCCTAGGTTGCATGGCCAATGGATAAGGATACTTTGCTAAAGATACTACTTCCTGTGGTGGTGAGTTCCACAGTTGAACTGTGTACTGCCTTTACTTTGTCCTGAATTTCTCACCATCCACATTCAGTGACTGTCCATCACCTGAGAAGGAAAAAGAAAGACCTCTCCCTTTTAGCTTCCTCCTGATTTTCAAGCTGAATGTATCTCATTTGTTCATAAAAAGTCTTTCTGGGCCAGAATTCCTGGGTTTCCCTACTTTCTCTTCTCACTGAAGGCTGTTCCCGTTCCTTTCCTTTCCTCTTGATCCATGGAAGATCTGTGCACCAGCAAAGCCTATGAACATACAGAACTGCTTCCAGGTCATGGAACAGATATGTCCATAGATCAAGGTTCAGCAGAAGGTACAACACCTTCAGGAGATGTTCCTGCTAATCTTTGTTTGCCATTCCTAACCATTAAATGACTTCCACCACTCCAAATTTGGCAGCTGAAAGTAAGGAAGTGTGGGATAACCCAGAACAGACTTCTGTATTGAAATGATGGTGAGCTCAGTATGGTTCTGGTACTTGCAAACCAAGTCCTAGCAGAACATGGCCCTGGTGCAACTGATGTCTTCTGGATCTGACCCTATTGGTGGATCTGGGAGTTCAGGTGTTTGTTATGTCTGAAGTCCGCCCAACTTGGCCTTATATCTTATAAATGTATCATCTCCACTATGCCATCTTTTCCTTTGTATTCTGTCCACCTTCCCTTTTCTAATACTATCAGAGCCTGACCAGTCACTATGGCCTCTGTAAATACATTATGGATCACAATGTGGGCAAATGAATAGAGTTTTGAAACAAGTGAGGGCAATTTAAATAATAGTTTCCACTGGGGAATGCTCCCAAAAAATGGCAGCAAAGCATTGAGGTTCCTTCCAGGGTTTCAACTCACCCATCTTTCTAAAATGGAAACATCTCCAAAGCAATGCCAACTCCATTGTTAAAATAAGTAAAAAATATACCCGTAATGAAGGTGGTGGTGAAAAAAATCAAAGTTGTAAAATGATCCTTTTGCTCTTTTTTCCTTCCTCTGTAAAAAATGATAATGATAATGCAAAACTATTATCTGCATATGTTAAAGGCGACGTTTAAACAAAATTGTGTTTAAAAAAAGTGCTGAGTTAGGTGGGAAACTTGTGTGTAGGTCAAGGAAAGACAATGATCTCGTTGCAGGGTTCTTTGGATGTAATATTTTATTGGTACTAGTATTTATTGACAAATAGGTATTCTAATAAGTCACAACAGGCCATACAACGGGCAAAGCGGCTGGCGGGGGACTTTGCTATTTTAAGGAGATGCCAGTTACCCACCTCCCCTTCCTAGTCTTTTTCCAAGTTGTACTTTTTCCAAAATGATATACAACCCTAATGATGAAAAACAGGGTGTACATGTGAGCATATGACCGCATAGGGACCTGGGTGAATGTTATATATGGGGAGCAGGGTGACCAAATGCCAATACGTCCACATGTATGTTTTGAAGGGGGTGGCGGGACTCTAGCTATTGGATCTTCCCATATTTTTTGTGTGTGGCAATTGATGGTTAATAAAAACCATGTGCGATGAAGTACAAGGTAGCTGGGCACCGGCTTTTCTTTCTTCAAGCCTCCTCTCTTCTTTATGGCAAGTCTTTGAGTCTTTGACAACATATGGCAAGCAGAAGGAGCCAATGTCTTGGCAAAATGGCTTCAGAAGACCTTGGCCTTCCTTGGACCATGACTTGCCCAAGGTCAAGCAGTGAGTGGGTTGCATGACTGAATTTGAACCCTGGTCTCCAGAGTTGTGGCCCAATGCTCAAACCACAACAAACCATTTTGTACTCAGAGAAAAAACACTGCCCAAATTGAAGCTTCATTGGGGTAGACCTCTACATCCAAGAGACGGTTTGCATCAGTGGTGTCCAACCTTTGGTCCTCCAAGGGTTTTGGACTTCAGCTCCCAGAATTCCTGACCATTGGACAAGCTGCCCAGAGCTTCTGGGAGTTGGAGTCTCAAACACCTGGAGGACCAAAGGTTGTACACTACTGGTTTACAGAGTCTATTCAAGGTCCGCTATCTATCTTCAGCATGGCACAATCTCAGATAAAGAGACAGAGCCCTACTGATGTTCCCCACTACCCTGAATCCCTCTGTACAGGGGTTGGCCATTGTCCAATGTGGGACATCCACATGGTATTCAAGCTTGAAGGTGCAGAGTGGTGTGTTTGATGCCATTTCATAGGCTGCACATTGCACATTGGGTTGTATGTTGGGTTCCAGGTTTGCTGCCTTGGTTGAGTAGCTCATGGATACCACTCAGCACCTTGAAAACACAACTCCCATATGGGGGTAACTACACTACACAATACACAAAAGCCCATGGCCATTGATCTCAATGTTGACATTTCCCAATGGGCAACCTCAACTGCTCCAGATGTTCTTGGGCTACAATCCTACAATATACATGTGACTGGGTTGGAGGGAATTTGCAGTACAATGACAGTCAGAGTCAGGAAAAGCTGGTCTACTAAGAAAAGGCACTTCCAACTATGTTGACACATATTGAAAGAAATATCCAAATAAACACAAGTACCTGACAAATGACACCTTGTACCCACACTAACTAATGCAAGAGGGGATGCCTCTTCTGAGATGAGGAAAGAAATAGAAATGGGAACTTTCAATAGAACCCATAGAAGAAGCTGGGGACTCATTGCAAGATTATGAAGAAAGTCTTGTTTCTTCTGAGATAATGCTTACATGCATTTGCTGACCAACCATAAATAATACCTTTTGTTTCAGGATAGTGCTATTAACCATATAAAATAATAATAATAATAATAATAATAATCATCATCATCATCATCATCATCATCTGCTTCTCTGGAAGTTCTAGACTTCTTGTTCTGCATCCCCAAATTGACTCCAACTTATGGTCTTGCTATCACAGGAGTTGATCAAGGTTGGATTGGAAGGTATTGACTTCATTGCCATCCTCTGAGGCTGAGAGAGTGTGGCTTGTGCAAAGCAAGTTGGGTTTTTATGGCTAGGTTGAGATGATAGGGATTTTAGGTCAAGGCTTGCATCTACAGAGTCAAATTAAGACCGCTTGACACGACTTGAAGTGCTATGGCACAATGCAATGGAATCCTGGGATGTTCAGTGTGTTGAGGTACCAGCCCTTTTTGGTGGAGAAGGCTTTGTTAAACTACAACTGCTAGGATACCATTGAGCTTTGGCAGTTCTAGGAATTGAAACTTTTGATCAGCATGGGACCTGTTGGTCTCTTTTTGTTCATCCCGGAGTTGGGACAATGTAATCCAATCACAAAACTATGTGTTCTTTGTCTGGTCCATTCTGCCCCCCCCCCCCCCCCCCCCCGGTCAGCCATTGAAGAGAGGAAATCTGTACTGAAAGTGGGGAATGCTCTCTGATTGGCTGGCAGCGCTGCAGACCTGCCTCACAAGGGAATCCCACCCAGCTGATCATGATGTCAACAGGACTCCACCAATCACGACGAAGCTGGCTTCATCTGGGGTGGGAGTGGGAATTTCAAAGAACTGTACTGTATAAAAATGTCTGTTTTTCAATGTTATGGCATCTCAGCTTACTTTGGCAGATTACCGCGAGCTGGCATCCACTTCAGTTAACTTGAATAAAATACCTCAGTCAGGCCCGTAGCCAGGATCTCGTTTCGGGGGGAGGGGGGGGGCTGTTTTTTTTTCAGGGGTTCGGGGGGTGGGGGCTGAGTCTGAGTGAAAGAGGGTCTACCCTAGCAAACCTTTTGTATCATTACCCCAATACCCCCATGCATATGGGATATATTGAGTATGGTGATCAGATCATGATATGA